GTGTCATATCGGTGCAATTCTGCTTTCTGGACAGTGTCGGACTACCTGGCTTTCAATGTGATTTTGCAATATGGAATCTGTCATTTCGCGATTGCTCATTTTCCTTGCATTCGGTCCAGGTTTGTCAGAAACTAGTCAAGCGGTAACAGCAGATAATCTCAGATTCCTACCAAAAATTTTATTCCTACCTTTAATTAGTCTGAAACAGATTGCAATGCAGTAAGGAATGAGTACTACCTATCTGCAGCTGTATGTCAGTTGTTAGCCTGTCTTTCACAACTAACTAATCAAAAATAAAAATAAAATTATTTGCTGGTTGTGCATGCAGAATGGAATTTTACATTATTAAACAATCGCGCTGTTGACTGGAATCTTTCCTTCCTCTTCATCCCCCTTGAGTAGTCATTTGATGTCAACGTCCTGAAGCTCTGGTTCAGCAGCGTGTCTGAAGGTGTGCAATCGGCCCCAGCCCGGTGCCCAGGAAATTGCTTATGAGTCATGACCAGTTCTGCACGCTATTTCTCCTCGCTTGCAACGAGCCTTCCATCTGACAGATCTTGCTGATCAAGCGGCAGTTTAAGGACAGCCCCCAAGGTCCTCAGGAATTGTTTAATGTCGCAGACAGGACGACGATCACAGCCAGTATTCATATCAGATCCCGCCAGAAATAATTTATAGAGTTTCTGGTTGAAATCTCTCATAGGACTGGTCAGTCCACGTTCCCTGTATAGCGCAGCAAGCAGAACAAAGGACAAGCGGCAAAGCATGCGTGTGCTAGTCCCAGCGGGTTGGCATGGTGACCGTGAGCCAAGTGCTTCGTCCAGGGCCCTTCAGAGGCAATGCGCGTCTCCCACCAGCTTGCTCCCCAGGAAGAATGTCGACTCTCAAGGTTGAGTGCTCACGACACCTCACAATGAGAGGACTCTCAAGACAGAACTCACTTCCTTACGTTAAGAAGTAACGAAGAGGGTAGATAAGGTCAGGAGCAACGTACCTCATAACGCTGCCCCCAACCACAGATTTCTCACCAGTAACCTGACGTGCATCTATGATGAACGGTCGATGCCTCCGCACAACTCACAATGCAATGGAGTTCCACCTCGGCTTAAATTGCCACGTCAGCGAGCTCTCATCATTCAGCCTGGACCCCTATGTCACCGCATAGCCTTCCTGGCGCGAACACACGACACCGGGTCTCTGTTACTACCCAACGCACAACCGTTATTACTGCCCCACCATATCCAGCGAAGCACCAAACCGTTATTGCTAAGGAGCCAGCGGAGGGCTCGAACCAGCTCTGATACCAAATTGCAAGGAAAATGAGCGATAGAGAAATGACAGAATTCCAGAATGCAATTTCACTTTGAAAGCCAGAAAGTTCAACACTGTCCAGAAAGCAGAAATGCACTGATATTCCACCAACGGAGAACCAAAGCACCGAATGCGAATGCCAATGAGAGCATAATTCGGCCATCACCAACATATGTATCCAAAGCCCTTCCTCATACTTGGCGCTCAGCGCCCAGACTACTTCTACACAGCTACTAGCAGCCTACAAATTGACAATGCATCCTGTTGACGTCAGCAGCAACAACCGCAGTGCATGAAGATGTCGACCTTGTAGACCATCGCCAAGACCAGGTATGTGTCCTCACATCATCCTTCTTATGTCTCTCTCTCTCTCTCTCTCTCTCTCTCTCTCTCTCTCTCTCTCTCTCTCACCCTCGTCTTCATCACCCACGGCTCCCTTCCCATACACAAAGACCACCACCACCCGCTGACTGTGTCCAAGCCCCAGCCAGGCTATGAAGGCTGGGGTATGGCACTGCCCTAAGCACCACCCTGTATCCTCTCGACGCCCGCGCACGCCCACACCGCGCGCTAGTGCAGCAAGCAGCCCTTGAGTCTAAGCTCCAGCAGCACTGCCGCCCGCAAGTGCAAGTGTCCGAATCCCCCACTCTGCGCCCTGCCCATGTCTATATGGAAAGAGGCGGGCGCTTGCCTTTGCTACACCCATGTGAGACCAAGTTTCCAGTAGCTTCATTCTCGGCCAAAGTGTCTGCATCATACGTGTGGCGCACCGCGGTGCGCGCCTCAGCGCACGAGTTGCGCACGCAGCGCCCCGCACTGCGCCCCGCACCCGGTGGGGCGCACCCAAATAAATAGGGTCGCAAAAAAAAAAAAAAAACGGGGGGTGGGTTTTGAGTACGGTGCCCCCTCGGCCTCCCAAAATTGAAAAAGAGGCCGCGCCGGCCTCGAAACCGGCCCTGCCCGTGGCCCAAAGTTTTTTTTTGGGGGGAAAGGTCTGCAGAATTCGAATTCAAATTCTGCAGGCCTTCCCCCCAAAAAACAAACACTTCGGGCCATGGGCGGGGCCGGTTTCGAAGTCGGCGCTGCCCATTCGTGTGCAGGTTCGTGACGGCCGACTGACGACGACGAGGGAGGGAGGAGCCGACGAGGACGACGACGGGGGGAGGGCCACTTCTTCTGGGAAGGAGGGAGGATGACGACAAGGGAAGAAGGGACGACACTCTAACGTGAACATGCCACGTGGCACTTTTAGTTTTTGTTTTTGCCTAAGCAGCTACTTCTCCTCCTCGTCCTCCTCCTCCTCCTCCTCCTCCTCTTCTTCCTTCTCCTCCTCCTCTTCCTCATCTGCTTCATCCATATCTCCCTCCTCCTCCTTCTCCTCCTCCTCCTCCTCCTCCGCCACACCTTTATCGGAAGTTTATCCTACTCCTCCTCGCCCTCCACATCTTCTGTCGTGTCCTCCTCCTCCGCCGCCCTACCTTTGTCCTCCTCCTCCGCCGCCCTACCTTTGTCCTCCTCCTCCTCCTCCTCCTCCTCCCTCCTCTTCATCTTCTTCCTCCTCCTCCTCCTCCTCATCCTCCTCTAACGTTAAAGTGCGACGAGGCACACTGTTTTTTTTTCTCTTTTCTTTTTGATCGGGCAGTTCTGCTCCTTCTCCGCCTCCTCCTACTCCTACTCATCTTTTGCTGTTTCTTCCTCCTCCTCCTCCTCCTCCTCCTCATCGTAAC